GAATTCTGGGAGTTGAAGTTCACCAGTCATGAAAGGGTCATAGTTCCTCGTGTTGGCTCAGGAATTCTGGGAGTTGAAGTCCACCCCTCTGAAACCGGCCAAGATTGAAAAAATAGGTTTTACAGCAATTGGAAGAAAAATCTGATGATCGTTGTATTTAATTAACCCTGAGCTATATTTACGCCTCACAGGCTGGGGGATTATGGGAGTTGTAGTCCTTCCATCTTAAGGCGACCAAAACCGTATCTATTATCCCCTATGCCAGCTGGGGGATTCTGGGAGCTGAAGCCCACCCCTCTGAAGGTGGCCCAGCTTGACAGCCTCTGGCTGCCCCTGCCTCTCCCGCTGACCTCCTCTTCCCCCCGGGGTGGTTTGGCAGGTTACGCCGGGCGCACGGAGCTGCCGGACAACCTGAAGTCCATGTTCCGTCCCATCTCCATGGTGGTGCCAGACTCCACCCTCATCGCCGAGATCATCCTTTTTGGAGAAGGCTTCAACAACTGCAAGGTACTTTGGGGCGTGGGGTGCGTTGGGCCCTCCGACAACAGATGATCAGAATTGGAAGGGAGGCCTTGGAGGTCATCTAGTCCAACCCCACCCCGGCCTCATCCTCAAGCCCTAGCGGGATCTTCTCCGCCTTCTCTTTCCCCCGCCCCAGGTCTTGGCCAAGAAAGTCTACACCCTCTACTCCTTGGCCGTACAACAGCTCTCCAAGCAGGACCACTACGACTTCGGCCTGCGGGCCCTCACCTCCCTGCTCCGTTACGCCGGGAAGAAGCGCCGGGTTCGGCCGGACCTCTCGGATGAAGAGGTGAGGGTTGATGGCGGGGGTGGAGGGCAGATGGGCCTGGTGGAGGCCTCTGAGGCTGCTGCAAGTAGTCCTCAACTTACAAGCCACAACCATGAGTTTCTGCTACTTAGCGAAAAGGAGTTTTGTCCTGTTTTAGGACTTTCCTTTGTGACCATTTTACGACATTCCCTTCCTTCCTCTTTTCTATCTCCTTCCTTTCTTCCTCTCCCTTCCTCCTCCTTCCTTCCCCCCTTTCCTTCTTCCCTCCCTCTGTTCCTTCCTTCCTACCTACCTTCCTTTTCATCTCTCCTTTCTGCCTCCGTCTCCTTCTCTCCCTCCCTCTTTCCCTTCCTCTGTTCCTTCCTTCCTTCCTTCCTTTGTGTCTACCTACCTACCTTCCTTCCTTCCCATCTGTCTCCTCCCCCTCCCTCTTTCCCTTCCTCCCGGATTCCTTCTTTTCTTCCCCTTCTCCCTCCGTTTTTCCTTCCATCCAGGGTTGGGACGCAAATATTTTTACTACCGGTTCTACGGGTGTGACTAGGTGGGCGTGGCTAAGTGGGTGTGGCCATGTGACTGGGTGGGCACGGCTTCTTTTTTCCAGCACCCCCTCCCCACCTGTTCTGTTTTTTTGGCCTCCTGGGCCTCAGGGAAGCCCCCTGGGCAAAGACGGTAAGGGGGACCCTGACACAGCTGATTGTCGGAACAGCTGATTGTCGGAACAGCTGATTGTCAACAGAACAGAACAGCTGATTGTCAGAAACAGCTGGCCGTTGGTAGGAGAAAAAAAAAAAGAAAGAAAGAAAGAAATGCCTGTTCGGCGGAACCTGGAGAATCCCCCGCACGATCCATTCCCTTCACCTTCTCCTCTCCTCTCTTCTTGGAGGGGGACCTTCCTTTAGAACCGAAGAAGCTTCTTGGGTGAGAAGCGAAATGTTTTCCGGGAAAAAGAAAGAAAAAGAAAAAGAAAAACCAGTTAGATTTTTGAAATTAAGAAGAAAAATCCGCTGGGGGACCCGCCCTGAAAGGATGGAGAACCTCCACGGAGCTTCTTCTTCTTGGTTCTTGACCCTTTTCCCTCCCTCCCGTGGCTGCAGATCCTTCTGATGGCCATGAAGGATATGAACATCGCCAAGCTGACCTCCGGAGACGTCCCGCTCTTCAACGCCATCACCCAGGACCTCTTCCCGGGCATCGAGTGCCCCGTCATCGACTATGGCAAGGTCAGCTGCCCCTCTGTCCGTCCGTCCGTCCATCGGACCCGGCCCTGTCCTTCTGCCTCCTCTGGAGGGGG